CTGACTCGATGGCACTTAGCAACAACAACTATGTTTACAGAATCAGACTGCATCATCTTTCTCTCACAGAGCAGCTGGTAGGTTCAAACTACCGACCTTTCAGTTAGCAGCCAAGTGCTTACTCCCAGCACCACCACTGCTTCTTAGAAATGTATTCCTCAGGCCTAGAAAGAGAGAGACATCCTTACTGTTTGCTTCAGAGATGCTTGATCCTCAGCTCCCTTCAAGAGCTGCTGGACTTAGAACAGCATCAGTTCGTCAGGTGGGTACAAGAGCCGAGCAGAACCAGCTGAGAATTAGGTCAGAATTTTCCCATTTCCAGAGCAGCTACAGCCTGGCTGTAACGCGTCAGTCCATCTGCTACCAGCTCCTGGACTGGGCAGGTCTTGAGGTGGTGGAGCAAACACTTTGAGGAAGCTCTTCTGTGCACTAAATGAGACCCACCTTTGAGGCCATTTCAAGGGATTTATTATTATTATTACTACTATTTTATCCTTTAATTAACATGGTTTTCTTCATTGACCACATTTTACTTTTATCATCAGAAAAACAGATCCAAAACAGTGTTTTCTAAAAATCCGTGTCCCATAGCTTATGGGTTATCATGAATGTGCCCTTCTTTCCAGTGTTAATGTGAACATTTTCCATAGTGGGACTATTAGTCTGTGATCAAATAGCTCCTCTTCAAGGGATTTTTTAAAAAGTCATCGTCCCTAGGTTGTGCAAACAGTTAGTATGCTCAGCTACTAAGCAAAAAGGCCACCCAGAGGCACCTTGGAAGAAAGCTCTGGCTATGTAATTCTGAAAAATCACCCATTGGAAACCCTATGGAGCACAGTTCTACTCTGACACAGTATTGACTCAGCAAAGCGTCAGCACCCGCCTGTCAGTTTGTGGTTCTCTGGCAGCTTGAGCATTGCTGTAATGCTGAAAGCTAGGCCATGGGTATTTTCAATATCAGCAGGGTCACCTATGAGGACAAGTTTCAGCGGAGCTTCCACATGAAGATACATTAGGAAGGAGAGGCAGACCACTCTAAATGGTTGGCCACTGGAACCCTTATTAGAGCAACGGAACATTGTCAGATAAAGGGTCAGAGGATGAGCCCCTCAGGTTGGAAGGCTCTCAAAATATAACTGGTGAAGAGCTGCCTCCTTAGAGTTGACCTCAATGACATGGATGGAATAAGCTTTCAAGACCTTCCTTTGCTGATGTGACACAATACAAAATGAGAAGACACAGCTGCAAACAGCCATTAATCGTTGGAATGCCGACTGTGTGAATCTCGAAAGACTGGAAGTTGTCAAAAATGGAATGGAACGCCTAAACATCAATATCCTAGGCATTGGTGACTAGAATCGGCCATTGTGAATCAAACACTGATATGTTTACTATGCCTGAAACAACAAATGGTGTCCCATTCATTGTCAAAAAGACAGCAAAGAAAGAAAAGACCAAAATGGACATCAGAATAGACTCTGAAACTTGCTCTTGAATGCTTCCAGAGAAGCTAAAGCAACTGGAAAAGAAAGTTAATGAGGAAGTAAAGAGATTAACAGAAAATTACAAAGGGCTGCTCAAGAAAACCAAGACAAGTACAGGGAAATGCACTAAGATCTGCAGTTACAAAACCAAAAGGAAAGAACATGCTCAGCATCTTTCAAACTGGAAGAACTGAAGAGAAAATTCAAGCATAGGGTTGAAAAACTTGAAGGATTCTGTGGGAGGGACCAATATGAAAATATCATGTTTGATAAGGTGGAGGGTCAGAGAAAAAGAGGAAGACCCCCGACGAGATGGATTGGCCAAGTGGCAGCATCAATGGACTCAAGCGTGTCAACCAGGATTGTATTCTTTCACCTTATTTATTCAATCTCTATACTGAGCAAATAATCTGAGAAGCTGGATTATATGAAGAAAAAACATGGCATCGGGATTGGAAGAAGATTCATAAACAACCTGCGATATGTACATGATACAACCTTGCTTGCTGAAACCGAAAAGGACTTAAAATACTTACTGATGAAGATCAAAGACCACAGCCCTCTGTATGGGTTGCATCACAATGTAACGAAAACAAAAATCCTCACCACTGGACCAATAAACAACATCAAAATAAATGAAGGAAAGATTGAAGTTGTCAAAGACTTCATTTTGCTCAGATCAACCTTCAACTCTCATGGAAACAGCAGTCAAGAACTCAAATGGCATACTGCATTAGGCAAATCTGTTACACAAGGCCTCTTTAAAGTTATCAAGAGCAAAGATGTCAGTTTGAGGACAAAGATGCACCTGTCCCAAGCCATGGTATTTTAAATATCCTGTAAATAAACACTGCACCACAAGGTCAGCTTGAACCACGAGGTAAGTGGTTCAAACCTACCAGACACTCCTCGAAAGCCCTATACAAGGTCACTATGAGTCAGAACCAACTCAATGGCACTTAACAACAACAACAACAATAATATGCATGTGGAAGTTGGACAAAGAATAAACAAGACCATAGAAGAATTGATGCATTTGAGTTATGGTGTTGAAGGAGAATATTAGAAGTACCACAGACTTCCAGAAGACCAAACAAATCTGTGTTGGAAGAAGTACAGCCAGAATGCTCCTTAGAAGCCAGGATGGCCAGACTTTATCTCTCATACTTCAGGCATATCATCAGGAGGGGCCACTCCCTAGGGAAGGACATCATTCTCGGTAAAGTGGAGGGTCAGTGAAATAGAGGAAGATCCCCAATGAAATGAATTGCCACAGTGGCTGCAGCAATGGTCGCAAGCGCATTGAGGTTGGCGGACAGGGCAGTGATTCATTTTGTTGTGCATAAGGTCACCACCACCAACAAGGAATTGCTTATTAAATTATATTTATTGAGAAAGTTTATGCAGCTTGCCCTAAGGAAAAATACTTGGGTTAATGTGTGTTTAGAAAATAAAATTCATGATGTTAAGTAAAGATGAAACCCTAACATTGTCTCATTAATCTGTAACCAAAATGAGATAAAAGCCAATTATATCTTGGTCGAACATATTCCAAAAAGTTAATAAAAATAAATGCTATGTTAAAGTTTAATATAAAGAAAGTTTGTAGTTTAACACCCCACCTTGTAAGATCCCCCACTCCTTTCTGAAACCCCAGTGTCTGAGAGCAGTATATTTGTTTGCTCCACCTGATAAAAACCTCACTGATCTCCCTGCAATTTGGAACATAGCAGCATCCTTCCCGGATGTCTGGGTGTCTCCCAGTTTCAGGAAGCTTTGTACCATTCATTGAAAGTTCTTTATTTTTAATAGAACAGAAGTTTGCTGTTTCACTATGTCACAGTAGGTCAAGCAAGAAATGATGAGGGAGAGCAAGTCAATGTGTAGGTTCTATGGATGAAGGGAACCAATCAGGTAAGGAGAAGGGGGAAAAAAGGACGGTGGCCAGCTCTTGGGCGTTAGTGACAGAACCCCCCACCCCACCCTGGTATTCTGTTTCCAGGTATCTTATTCCTGTCAAGCCCCCTTTCCTTGGAATCTGTGCATGAACAAATCATACTCCCGCCCATCTTATCATCAAGAGCCAGTTCCTCTGAATTCCTTCCAGAGCTCCCCACCCTGACCTCCTTTGAGAAGTTCCGTAATTTTTTGGCGTCTTTACTAGCATTTACGGTTTCTATAAATGCCTAACAATGTTTCTGATTGTGTGTCACACACACTGGCCAAAAGATAAGAGTAATAATCGCCAATAAACCCATTCCAACTCATGATAACCCCTGAATGTCAGAGCACAACCGTGCTCCAGAGCGTTTTCAATGGCTATTTTTTTTGGAAGATCACAGGCCTTTCAGCCAAGGCACCTCTGGTTGGACTTGAACTTGCAACTTTTCAGGTAACAGCTGAACTGGTTAAGAGTTTGTACCACCCAGGGAAAGGGCAAGAGTAGCTCTAATACAGTCTTAATGACAAGAACTCTTGATGGGAAAAGGAAGCGCACGTGCAATAGATGGGCTAGCCCGTAGGACTCTCCACTGTCCAAAGTGCCATCCAATACTGGATAATGGGAATCGGCTACAAGTTATACTTCTCTCCGCCCTGAAGCAAAGGAAGACTCGTTTCCAAGGACTCCTTGCAGGGTCAGAAAAGCAAACTCAACCCACTGCCATTAAGTGAATTCTGAAACCCTAATTTTCAGAGGCTGTAAACCTGTAGAGGGTTGGGGAGACTGTAAATCTTCATGGGAGCAGCCAGCCTCATCTTTCTCACTCGGAATGGATTGGAACTGGCAACCTTGCAGATAGCAGTTCAATGCTTATCCTACAGCGCCACCAAAGTTCTGAAAGGGGCAACCGTAACCTACTAATTTTGTTTACTTTTTCTTTAAAAGCGCCTCTCCATAGGGGTTATACTGGAAACAAACAAGACATAAAATTATGTCAATATTTGCGAGTTTACTATTTTTCGTTTAATTTTGTAGTTTGACAGAATTTCAGATTGAGAAATTCCCTTCAACCCCACTCCTCATTTGCATTGCTTCTCTCCCTCCTTCCCGGGCCCGGTTTGGCCCGGGACTCACAGTTCCCGCTGCCGTAGGCCGGAGCACTTGCAGCCCACAGAACGCCGGCTGCTCCAGGCGAGGACGGAGAACGTCACCGCCGCGCGCCGCGTCGCCTACGCTGGCAGGTGCGCCAGCGGCCGAGACTACGCTTCCCAGGGGACTGCGCGGCGGGGGAACTTCCGGCGGGCGGTGCCGGCCCCGGAAGCGGCTGCACGATCGCCGGGCGAATCCCGCGGCGACAGGTCGGAGGGCGGCAGCCGGCCGGGAGCATGCATGACGGCCCGCGAGGCGCGGCGCGCGGCGCGTTCGTTCTCCCGCGGCGCTGGCGGCGACGTGCGGCGTCTTTCCCGTGAGCGGCGGCCGTAGCGTCCCTTAGGGCGCCGGGCGAGCGGGCGCCGGCGGCTGGGAGGCGGGCCGGGGTCGGCGCGTCCCTCAGCCGGGCGGGGGGCGACAGCGCCATGTGGAGCGGCCGCAGCTCCTTCACGAGCCTGGTGGTGGGCGTGTTCGTGGTGTACGTGGTGCACACCTGCTGGGTTATGTACGGCATCGTCTACACCCGCCCGTGCGCCGACGACGGAAACTGCATTCAGCCCTACCTGGCGCGGAGGCCCAAGCTGCAGGTGAGCGCCGACGCGGCCTCGCGGCCTCTGACCCCAAACCTCGGCTGGGACATCCTTTCCTGAGCCGTCACCCCGGGGCTGGGCTGGAGCACCCCACTCCTGAGCCGTCACCCGGGGTTGATCTGGAGCGAGCACCCCACTCCTGAGCCGTC